GAAGTAAATCAGCATGAATCTCCATTCTAACTTTTGAAAATTGTCTATTGTTCATGTTTTCTCATCTGCCACATTTTTCTCATCTGCCAAATTTCACTCATTTGCCCTAACGTGCTTTCTGGCTTTCTCTTTCCCAGACCAGGCCCATCTTTTTTCTTCTTCCTCCAGAATGGCACTGAGTTCTGCCCAGATTAAACAGCACTGACCAGGCAGCTCAATTAGTCCTTACAAACACCAGTAAAGGGTAGTCAGACTGAGCTCCCAGCTGGAAGTTGTGTGTCTGTGCATGGAATCAGGCACAGAAGGAGTCACTGAAACGAGTGGACAAACTTGAGGTGCACACAGAGTTAATATGCTGACAGAAATACTGAGCTTTACATCTGAAAACCCAAATACAAAAATAATATGATGAGTAAGGCTAAAATTCCCTGTTCTGAGCTTCCATGGGGCCAGCTCCCCTCCCCACCCCCTTTCAGGGCTCAGCAGTCACTTCTCCTTTTCTGCCGTGCCTTGCAGAAATGTCTCCTGGGATGAGTCAGAGCAGGACTTCCAGGCAACAGTGTTACTGCCTTTGGCCCCACCAAACAGTGGGCAAAAATGCCTCCGCTGGGGTCTGACAGCTCCTTTCACGTACTTTGAGGGCTCCCTCTGATTCACTTAACCCTCGATACTGTTTGTTTTCTGAATCACAGGATCATAGAAAACATTAGGTTGACAAGGACCTCTAGAAGCTCGTTTTGGCCAGTCTCCTGCTCAAAGCTTCACAAGTAGATCAAGTTGCTCAAGGTCGGGACCAGCTGAACTGCTGAAAATCTTCAAGAGATAGCACAGAAACCTTGGACATCTCTTCCAGTGTCTGACCACCTTTATAGGGAAATTTAAAAATCTTTCTGCCCTGTCCTTTTAAATGCTTAAATTCGTGGTCTGGCCCTGTTTCTCAGCTTGCCCATGCCCTCTGTCAGTGCTTCACATCAAGTCCTACACATGCAGGCCTTCCAGAGATGTTTTGATGTGGTCTCTCCAGAGATTTTGCTGGGGCTCTGGTACTTTTCTCTGTAGCAAGTGCAGTTTCAGGGCAGTGCTCAGGCCCCACCCTTTTACAAAAGTGAGCTTCTTACTCTACCAGAAGAAAAAGTATGTTTTAGAAGGTCCTGAGGACAGGGCATAGAGAGTACTACTAGGTGTGAGGAAGCATGAATTTACTAAGCCACTCTGACCCCTTTATTAGGAAGTTTTGTGGTGGATATTCAGCTGTCAAAATGTCTTTCTGGGGAAGGTGCAGACTCCCCTCCAGTGGCCAGGGAGCCAGGCTCCTCTGCAGGGTCCCGTCCCTCAGCCAGAGCAGAAGCCTGCCACGGTTTCTGAGACACTCGAGGCTGTGCCTGGCTAAAGGAAAGCCTCCCATGGCGCCGGAGTGACCGGGGGAGGGTAACACCATCCCTGAGCTCGGGCTGTTCGTGTCCTGCCAGCACAACGCGGCGCGTTCGTGGGTACAGGCCACCGGCGGTACCCGCGCCCCGCACCCGCCGGGCACTGCCGGGGCCGGTGCCGCGCCCAGGGCCAACCGCGGCGCCGGGCAGGTGCCCTGAGCTCCACACGGAGTTCAGGCGCCTCACACAGCGGCAGCTGCTCGTGTCCCACAGACGGGCTCCCACCCACTGGGCCACACCCGCTTTCCTGCGGGCGGGTTTCCCCGCGCCCCCCGAGGCCGCTCCGGGCCCGGCCCGCGCCTCCCGGCGGCGCCGTTGGGCGGGCGGGCAGCGCCGCCGCGCGGGGCCCCCGCGCCACTGCAGCCGCGGGGCTCGGTGCGCTCCCGGGCTGCGGGCAGCACTTCCCGGGAACCGGCCGGGACAGCGGGAAAAACTGATTCTCCGCGCTTCCTTTTATAGCTATTAACCTTTTTGGGTTTTTTTCAGCCGAAATACTGTAAACGGAGTTTTCATATGGGTGGCGCAGCTAATAATATACTCCTTTATCAATTAATGTAGAACTTTAAAAGATAATAGTAATAATAATAATAATAATAATAGTACTATATATAATAGATGTGTATGTAGCATTTGTCATTAATTGACTAATACTTTTGAGTGACTTAATTTTTCAGTAACCAATGTACGTCCCGTGCTCCACTGCTATCTCTTGCCTTTTGTGGATGCGCAGCATAGCAGCCTTTTGGGGTTGTGCATGAGGTGTATCCCATGTCTCTGCCTTCATGGTGCCACTGAACTGTAATGGGTTTGCTTTTTTTGTTTTTAACTCTCTTCTGGAAAGCTCCCTCAGTTCCATCATTGTCCCACTCCTGCAAGAATGATACAAGAAGACTACAGAGGTTGTAAATAAGGGTAAGCATTGGAGACACTCAGGTAAGGACATTAGGGAGGCAAGAGCATCAGTTACAAGTCAAAGAGAACTGAATATATAGTGACTGTTTTGCTAGTCTACCTTTGAAAGTGATCTGTTGGGTTTTTTTTACCCTCAGCTGGGGAAATAATTCAGTAGAGAATACAGAAACTTAAAAGTAATTTTCAGATAAATGATATTGAAGTGATTCTGTGGATTGGGGGAGTCAGGAGAAGGTCCCAGATCCCTAATATTTTCATATGGATCTCTAGACTGTCACTGAAAATTTCACTGCACAGCCACCAACAGTGTAAAAGCTCCATTTGATGCACAGCAGCTGACACCTGATGACATGAGGTACAGAGCGAACATTTAATCCAGAATACTTCCTGTGCTGACTTACAGCAGGATGTCATAAAAACAGAGAGTCTTGGAGTGAATTCCTGCATCACTGGAGTCAAAAGCAAACTCCCACTCATTTCACTGAGACCATGGTACCCCTACTGCTTGCAATAGTTGAAATTCTCTGTGTGGTTTGGTTTACCTGAGGGGGTGCCTGTTGTAACTGCAATAATAACAGCTATGATCCATCAGCACAGAGAACTGTGTCACTGGAGCAAGGCTCAGGAAGGCTGAGGATAGCAGTTGGAAGGCAGCTGTGAAACTCAAAACCTATAAATTGTACAATTTGAGAGCAAAATGCAGAATATCTTAAAAGTTTGCTTTCAGAATTCAGCTTCCTATATAAACATTCTGCTTGTAAGTAGGAAAGATACAACTTATCTCTAACTGCATTCACAGCGCAGCAGCCTGTGGGACTGTGCTGCTCTTACACGAATGCAGGAAGAGCCGCAAAACCATTGCAGGCGACTGCGGCTGACTTAATTCCTAACTCCTGCTCCAGGGCATGACATTGGTGTGATGTAATGAGATCGGGCGAAACCGTAGCGAGAAGCACCAACATCAGCACTGCCTTCTTGGGAAATAGGATTCATTCTGAAATCTGGAACGAGAATCAAGTTCTGTGTCTCAGGGAAAATGGCAGGAGATGGAACTTAAAGGTATATCAGTACATTCTGGAAAGTGTCTGCATTGGAAACAACACACGTCCAACCTAGCTTGGCTTGTATAAAGATAAATCTTTATTCTCTTCTGACCTAGTTTCCTAAGCACACGCAGTTTCTGGAAATCTCTGCAAGAACAGTGGGTAACCTTCACCACTAACAGGGCACCAGTGCTTAAGCAGCTCTGGTGGTTCACAAATTATCGTGAAGGTTGCAGTGAACCTGTGAGGAGGAAGCAAATTTGTTTAAAAGTCATTGTATCTTTCAAAAGCATTTCGAGGCTCAGTCCTCAGCCACATCTTCTTCTGCTTTAACAACTTCCAGAAGTTCTGCTCAAACCCCGGTTTCACACTGTGCTTGTCTCTAGACATCTGCAGCCCAAAGAATTTATAATCCATTTAGGGAGATTGAAAAATAAAGAAAAAATAAATCTCAGCAAGCACGTTCCAGAAGTCGGGGTCTCGCACAGCACCCGTGTCCCCGCAGCCCGCGCC